ACCGATAATGTAAAGTAAGTCATCAGTTGTCGTTTAGCTGGTTATGGGCTTGTAAACGCCTTCGTAGTGTCCTCATGAGATCCGTGCTCTGATATGAAAAAATAAATGTTGCTATATCAAATTCAAAGTTATTGCTGAGCAACATGAAGACGGGATATCCATATTTCAGCCTTTTGTATGATAGTGGGAATATTTTTGTTACAGTTAATTTGTAATAGTCGTACTATATTTTAATGAATTCAGCTTTTGGTTTCGTATAATTGTACAGTACTTGGTTAGAATTATGGTCTGGTTCGTTATTAGTACTACGATAACAATAGACCTAATCCTAAAAGCATAGAATTGTCGTAATGTGACTACTTAATCTACAAAATCTTAAGTGGAATTCACATCATTATCTACATTGACTCATCGTATCGTAACAATTAATGTGATTCTTAGTACTTCTGATGGAAGTATTTGGGCCGAAGATAGGATAATATATTTAATATGAAGAAAGATAGGCTATACAGAATGACCGCGTCTACGAGGCTGAGCCTTGCTTTCCGATTGAATACATGAATATTCCTGCGTTCACCATTGTTGTTCTTTAAGTGTCAAATTTTGAATATTTATTTTCCCTTTTATCTCATGTTCGCCTTTGGGAATTGTGTGGTTAGGAATAATATCACTACAAGTTCATTCGGAGTCAGAGACTGTAGTTAACTACTCGCAATAAATATCTCGGAGTTCGAATACTTAGAGGCCCCAGTAATAAGGGTAGATACTGTTCTTCAAATTCTTCCGGCAGACCAGTCTGCAGACCCGATAAGATATCACTGAGCCCTAGCCAAATCATCCGGTAGTCAGGTCACTGCATGTCGAGCAGTTCATTGATTCTCATCAAGGTCAAGGGCAACCACTGCGCATCAGTTAATTGCGCGCCATGGACTGGCTCACGCAACAGTGATTGTACTTTGTTCCTTATACCTACATTTAACAATGTATTTCTGTAATAACATTGTTTTGTACGGTCATCAAAGCAGCCGAAGTACTTGAACGCGCGAAAGGTTAATCCACGCTAGGTACCGGCCGTGAGATGCGACTTCAGCGATAGAGAATTTTTGGAACCATTCCCGTTTAACACGAGTACGTCCCCAATCATTGGACACAGATAATCTACGTCGATGACCTACAAGTCTTTTCTAGGCAGCGGTTGACCGCCGATGCATGGCGATACAGTTTTTATCAAAAGAATTCGACATGGAATTTAGTAAATATCTTAAAATTTATGTAGCTAAAGAGGTTCAAAAATATTTGACATACAATACATAGAAATGCCCAACTGTTTGCAAACACTCAACTGTTAATAATCCCTCAATCATCTTGTACCTCAACAACTGGTAACTAAACGTTATTTATCAGGCATCCGTTTAATGCGTATCGTAATGCAACTAAAGCCATTATTATGCGATTCCTGAGGAACAAGTCATTCCATTAACTTCGGCGGACATTTTTGAACCATGAATGTTTTTCCACTCGGTTTGTGTAATTATTAAAAGACTGTCAACCCACACCGAGCCTGCTGAACTCAGATTTCTAACTGTCAAAGTTTAAGGGCTTTAAAAGCTATAGAGAAGTGAGAGTGGGAAAAGATGTGTACCATTCCTGGAGTAAGACAAATTTAAGGTGTAATAATATGAATTAATGATAAATATTGTTGTGAGGCAGAAGCGAATACGTCTTTAAGTACATTGCAGTGATCAATAAATGTCAATAATTAATAGCTTAATAGACAATCAGCAACAATGCTGACCTAGTTTTCGATCATTAGTAAACCACTTGTTTTGACGAGGCACATTCATAATTAAAATGCAACGTGTTTCACTTATCCCAAGCAGTCGGGTTGTGTCAATTACTTATGCTGCTATTTGGACGACCTTTTTATCGCGTGTATCGCAATAAGTCATCGTAGCTCTTCTATGCGCATTTGAAATTTCCCTGAGCAAATTAAGTAGGTCATTTTGTTAACTCTGGCTAATGTCTGTTAGCAAGGGTTTTGCGAGATTGTGTCGCTATCCTAGTGCCCATCCGTCCTCTTTTATACAGCAGAAACCCTAAAACGACTACGGGTTGAGATTCAAATATAGATAGCTTCAAATGATCAGTTTTGAAAATTACACAATTATATGTAGCCCTTATATACTAAGTGTATGAGAAAATGCTAGATATCATACAGCTATTGAGCACTGAAAAATGATTGTTCAAACACTTTATGCTGTCTGGTAGCTAAAATACAAGCTAACCTAAAATATATCTACAGATTCATGACTAAACAGGAGTCTGTAAACCAAGGGGTTTTTTCCTTCCAGTCTTCTCATAGCACTAGACATCTGGACGACTTTCTAAGACCAAAAGACCAAAAGCTTTTGACAAAGAGTCGTACTCAGTTATAACAAGGGTTTTAAGATGGATTCCACTGACATGGTCATAGAAAAACTTACCACACTGACTCTCATGCATGCTGTGATGTTGAGATCCATTTATGACCATGAAGGACCTTACAGCGGTGATGGAATGGTTGAAAACATAACCCGTCAAAATTTCATGTCATCAACATTACGCTTCATTGTCAACAGTTAACTAACGTCCTTCATGGGATTCCGCTTCTAACTGTCTCCCCAGCAAATGATTTTGGGCTGCTAACAAGAGAGCTTAAATACTGGCCTAAAACAAATTGGATATAGAGTTGAGGCAAATATAACTTTATTTTGTAAGAAGACAAAATATTGCAACCACACCAAAGCTGTTTATGACACCGTCTATGACGTTCTCACGGTCTTACCTCGATGTCCACAACGTTACGCACTCTCATCCTTTAAGGAGACATAAGTCTCTTAGGTCGAATATAGAGAAGGGCAGCAAAGTGGGTGATAGGAGTTCACACTTCAACACAGGATTATTCGCCGAACTATATGAGGATAAGAGATTTGTTAATGGCGTACAACATATTATGTACGTCAGTTCACCACAACACAAGCATCATACCAGAACCTCAACATTACCCTCCACGAGTAAAACCTCAGAAATTTCACATCAAAAAGCGAAGGCTCATATACCCCTTTACTTTTTGACTTGCTTAATGGATGGCTTCAACATGAGACTTAACATTTACGCACTCACTCATGGGTTACACTCTCTTGGTTACAACAGTTGTGTCTGATACCTATCACTTGACCTACCCACTATTATTATTATCACGCATCGTCAGCTAATTCCTAACCGGCTGATTATCATTGTCGCTGGTCCTTATATTCTTACACTTCAGTCTACTCACGCTGTCTGCATTGACAGCTGATTAACTTATTAGTGAATTAATTAATTTTTTGAAAAAGTCGTCTTACTTAGGCATTCAAATTTTCTCTCCATTATTTTTCATGACGTAGCCAACCAGCAGCTTATAGGTAATGTGGTAGCTGACGGTTCCAGAAACTTAGTTGTTCTCAGACTAACACATTAACTCTGATTACAAGATGCACAAACCTGCGAGTAGTGCATTCGAGTGGCTAGAATACTACTCATAAGACACCATCAAAGATCCGGAACCATACAGAAACGACAGAAGACAAACTCAATGAAATCAACCTGGGTACATGAGCTTGTCACAAGGATATTGGATTCAAGTACACATTGCCCGCCGACACCTAGTCGCTCAAGGTCGTACTGACGAGAGGTAATTCCAACCTACCGTAGTTGGTGCCCGTCAGGCTGCGCTCGACGAGACTATAATTTGTGGACGAACCAATCAGATTTACGACAACAGGTCTTGAATTTTGGCTCTTAATTCACTCATCCATTTGGTTAAACATAGTTTTGGCATTATAGCTGATGTCAGTTCGTGATGAAAGCCATATAAATCTGATTCCTTATGCTAACCATCAACCGTAAATATTAACCCTAATTCCTCACATTGGTTTGTAACCCTCATTTAGCCGTAGTATGTAGGTGCACGCCATAGCGTCACTCAAAGGTCGTCCATAACCCAAGCTCCGAATTTTGGGGAAAATTTGACGAATTTTGGAGAAGCCGCTACAGTGAACTTTGGGGAAATGGCACAAAAACCCCGAAATTTCCCCAGACCTTAGGAAATCCCCCCTTAACCCTGGTCAAGTTCATTTGACTTTGGGGATTTCCCCGAAGTTCCCCAAACATTGGTGAAGGTCATTTGACTTCGATAGTTTTCCCAAAATACCCGAAAATTTATAAATCATAGTCTCACCGTGAATGTACCGGCAATTTTCGGTCTTCTAAATGAAATGAGTGTCGGCGTAAGTAGGTTAGGAGTATGTTTCAATGTAGAAACATATTTATGAATGTGTTTTCTGTAGAGCATTTTGCGGCGAGACTCTAATTTAGGGATGAGCCAATCAGAAGCGTTTGAGCAATTTCAAGGTCACGGAGCCAAGTTCAACAGGCGCTGCTAACATACGATCGGTTCACAGCGGATTTTAGAGAGTAGGTGATTAATGAGAGGTTACAACAGATGGGACGGCGAAACTCTATTTTAGGGACGAGCCAATGAGAAGCGTTTGAGCAATTTCAATTATTAGCCAATCAGAAGACAGTATAATGTAGAAATATATTACAAGAAAGTAATGAATTACAGTGGATATTCTTCTTTTACATGATTTAAAAACCTGTTGAGGTTTGGTAAAGACTCAGAAGTTCTGAATTCATAATGCATATTGTATAGAAACTCGTCCATAGGGTTAGGGTTTGGGGTTAAAATTAGTGTTAAGGGTTAGGTTAAGGTTAGGGTTTAGGGTTAGGGTTAGATTAGGATTTAAGGTTAGGTTAAGGTTAGGGTTAGATTAGGGTTTATGGTTAGGTTAAGGTTAGGGTTAGATTAGGATTTAGGGTTAGGTTAAGGTTAGGGTTAGATTAGGGTTTAGGGTTAGGTTAAGGTTAGGGTTAGATTAGGATTTAGGGTTAGGTTAAGGTTAGGGTTAGATTAGGGTCTAGGGTTAGGTTAAGGTTAGGGTTAGATTAGGATTAGGGTGCTAACATGCGATCGGTTTACATCGGATTTTAGAGATGTATCTACTTACAGGCTACAACCCTAACCACTAACCCTATGGACGAGTTTCTATACAATATGCATTATGAATTCAGAGCCTCTGAACCTTTATCAGACCTTAACAAGTTTTTAAATCATGTAAAAGAAGAATATCCACTGTAATTCATTACTTACTTACAATATATTCTCACTTTATACTAACTGTCTTCTGATTGGCTAATAATTGTCAAGGTCACTTAAAATTCGTTCATAGGTCGTCCTTAAATTAGAGTCTCGCCCATTTTGCATGTGCAATGTTATTTAAGAGCTTATTCAGGTCACTACCTAGTTTGGGTGTATGTAACCGACAAAGCCACCAAATCTGAGATATCTCACTACATATGTTCCTTTATGTATGTTATCCGTCTACTCTTCTTTTGCTTTAGGTCGGATGGCTCCTGTAAGGAAAAGTATCTCTTCTCGACATCCTTCTGATCGTTTTTCCAAGAAGCATATTCGTAACGAGGATGGGTCAGTATTGGTTGTAAGTAAAAAAATGAAGAACATAATAAAACAAGACATTAAAGCACAATCCATAACTAATATGCTAACTGACGATCCTAATTCCGAAGTGAGTAATTTTGGTTGCACGCCACGTATATAAAGAGACTTTAGGGCCATTATAGCTTTAATATTTCAACATAGAATTTTGACTTATCTTATACTCTTCAGCAACGTTCTCAGGTTGAGGTCGCCACTAGCCTAATTTCCTTCTCAGGGCCTTCAAAGTGTTATTAATTGGTAAATATCAACCTCGTACATACCTCTAACCACAATCTAATTAACCTGAACCCAATCACCTTAGGAATCTGACTCCCCTGCCCTGAGTGGGAATCCTGTATTGTACAGCGTGTTACTATTCGTACAGTAAATGTAGTTCGTAATTAAAATGTTCAACGTTTCACTGACCGATCACGCATGTTTTATTTGCAGTATAGTCAAAATGAATTCAGGTTGATTATGAATACAGTGGTCTTGAGTGCTGTTAGAAGTGTGAGGGCGGTTATCACTTTCCGGCTGCCCACACCGTGGAAGGGTTGTTCTGGAGGTACCTGAAAAGGAAATTGGATTAGAGGTGGTCTTAGTGACCTGAGAGCGTGACCGCAGTGCCCAAGGGACAACTGCTTGAGGTCGGTCACACACGACCTTGTTATGGGTAATTTTTGTGTTAGCTCCGTACTTATTGAGACCTTACCGCCGGAGACGGATATCCGTGGGATAAGGCGAGGTGTGCATTTTTAGGGTCGACCTTTTCTAACCCCACCCCTCCTTGTGGGAAGGCAGCATCGCTGTCATGCTGGTTGTCTGAAGGAAACACCTTACTGCTGTCACACCTGTACAGTCAGCAGTACGACTTCGCCTTCGGACCTTGGGTTTGTTGCTTTTAGTCTTACCGCTCTTCAACCGACCTGTCTGACATGGTAGGACCTTGAGGAACGGTTGTTCCAGCCAGTATAGCTCGGTTGCTTCATCACGATAGGCAAGCCCGACCACCACGTCAAGGTAGCAACAACGGTCGGGGATGGTTGGAAGAAAGTTAGGGGCGGCCAAACCAAAACGTGGCATCAGTGCCTGAAGTCACTAACTTGTAGTCTGAGCCATGTTGGTAGATGCAGACTACTTGGTTGGGGTCCGCGTGACTTTCGTAACCAATGGTTGGAGACTCTTGGTGACATGGCTCAGAATCGATTACAATGGCGTCGGTGTATACACTCCCTGTCTTCCCTTAAACTAAGAGATTAAAATCACTTCATATCTTTCTTTCTACGAACTAATTCTTTCTTCCTATACTATATCCTTATTGCAATCCTCCTATATATTACCACCTCTGAATTAACTACTTTTATGAATCCGGTGTTCATCTTGCTGTGCTAATGAGGTATGGCAACCTGGACCGATGCATACATGTGCCTGGTCCTACGTTGTAGCTGACTGACTGACTGACAAAATGAATTCAAAATATCGCCTTAATCGTCCGACTATTTTAGCATTTGATGATAGAATAACTATAGGCCAAATATGTATTTTTTGTGTCTTATTATTGTTGACGACAAATGATATATGCTGATTGTAAACATCCACTTCCAACTTCTTTGTTATTTATTATCCTTTCAAATAGGATCATTCGAACCTTTCTCAATCATCTTTCAAACACGCCTTAAATCCATATACTCAATGTAGTGATAACAACAGTTTGAGTAAACCTTGCACTCGTTTATCACCTAATAATACTAATATGCATCGAATTGTCAAAAAAGTTCCTCGTAAAAAGCGTCTCAAATCTAAATTGCATTCTCATTTTAATCGAAATCAAAATTTAAAATCAACTTTACTTTCTATGGAAAAAGATATAAAAGGAGAATCTCGTGGAAATCAACAATCGATAGTGCACTTTTCTACCGATCAGTCAGCTTTCGTAAAGTCAAATGGAATGCGTATTCAAAAGTCAAAATTGAAATCCTCACAAAAACAACAATCAAAAGTTGACGATAATCATATTGAAGAAAAAAGACCATCATCGTAAGTTATACAACTTGTTATTGAGTTCAAAATACCAAACACATTTCTTGAAAACGAATTGTTTAATGTTTAAAATTGATTGATCACAGATTAGTGACCAATATCGTACTTGTCTAGTCTCTTAGTACTGAGTAAGTTTTACTGAACGAGTCATAATGTGGCCACTAGTTTGTGTGACTGGACATCGTATGAACTACGTTGAAATGTAGGCCAGTAATTACTGGGTAAATAGTGGTATATATATATTTATCTATGCCACTGTATTTGTTTTTCAGTATGTTATGAAGTCCAGATAGTAATTTTATTCGTAAACGTTTTGGTATTAACCTGTTGTCAATAAATAATAAACTTTAAACAATTTTAGTTGGGAATATGTACATTACAGGAAGAAATACATTTTTTGTGACAAAATTTTGAAAATAAACTCGTTAAAATGGTCAGTCTGTAACAACGTAGAACTTCGTACGTACATAAATCAGTTCGAGTTGCCATACCACATTAGCACAGAGATGCAGTTGTCAATTCAAATCCCGTAGCGTTAAAATGGATTTCTATTAATAAATACATGGATATATCCAAATTAACTATTCGCAAATTAGTTATGCCTAGTATTATCTTTCTATTCACCTCAAAGTGTATTGTATAAATAAAATGTTTAAAGCCGATAATTAATTGAATATCTATTAAGTCATTTATGTGTCATATACATCATAACTATTTCTTCATTTGAGAATAGATTCTTATTTATCTTTTTTTATCCTATTTTTTGTAGAATAGATATTGTCAATTCCTTTCGCAGCTTACTACAACAATTTTAATGGATATCTCTTTTTGTTGTTGATTGTTTTATGAACTAGTTCTCAAAATAGACCAGATCGTCTGTAGATTAAAACAGTAACTGTATATTTGATGATTGATAGTGTCTTGGAATTGTTTTTGTAAATAAATAAGTTACATGAATAAAACTGTATATACTAATTGTATTTCAAGTTTTGTATTTTACAAGGGTAAACAATCTATCCTATGAATTTTTCTAAAATTGGAATTTCAGATTTCTGACGTAATCAGTGTAGACATTTGATTTTTTGTTTATTTTGGGTTAAAGATTCGTAAATCATTCTCCACTTTGATTTAAATGATATTGCTAGTTTGTATATAATACATGGTTCATGATTTTTGGGTTTTACTTCCAGTTAGTCATAAACAACGTAGAACCTGACAATATTTATATCGGTCAAAGTTGCCATATCATATCCCCTCAGCGACATGAATGTCACAGTACTAGGAGTATTAACAGTGTCATTATTAGTAGTAAGGTTTACACATAAATGATATGATTAGGGAAGAAAGGGTAAATTCATGGAGTAAAAAACACATGAGATAATTTTCAGACTCAGCATTTAAGAGAAAACAAAGAATGAATGCCAGTCTATTCCACTGTGACCGATTGAGCTCAATGTTACCCATAAGTGAAAATATAATCAAAACAGTATAATTTTGAAATAATAAGATTATACAGATATTTGTGATAGGGAGGCGTTCATGTGACATAGCTCCCTCCCAGTATTCTATGTTTCAAGAGTTGATAAAAATTGTCAATAAGTACATGCTTCATTCACATTACGATACTGGTTTTCGAACATTTTGGGTATCATTATACACAGCTCAGTCTCGTTCTCCTTATTTCAAGAGCCCACTTAAATGCGTTTCATGGGACTTATTAGCTCATATGTGTTAAGATTGAGAAGTAACTTCTCTATATTATTCATTCTTATAGTCTACTTATTTACGTCTCCTATATAGTGTTTCGTTTGTGTGTTATAATAACTCTTCACCTGATCACTATTCGTACAGTTATTCTGTTACAAAATGTGATCCATTTCAGCCTAAATACATGCCCCCAACGCTTGGACGGCCTAACTCAATGGAGGAGAAATACGTGACTGTCCAAAACCAAATACTGAATGAATAATCCTGGTATTTACAGGTAAGTAAACTGGCACTTAATAAGAGTGGTGAGCATGCCTGAGAGATCAATAGTCCCATTACGGTCTGAGATGATTACATTATTCGAAAACCTAACGAGTCATATTTTATGATGATTGAATTGCGAATTTGTGGCTTAAGTAAGCTCTGTTTTCCTCAATGCTTGACTTATTATCATTTGCGTATGTTGTTAGGACGATGGCATCAATGTTACATTAAAAGACCTGTTTTAGAATTTATTCACAAGCCACCTTTTTGAAATTTTATGTGAGTAATAGTCAACCTAACTACATAAGTACGGTTCTAAAGTTTCCGCGTATCGTTCTTTTGTTGACGAAGGAAAATAACACTTTTAAGAAGCTTAACCTTGTCACACTTTGATGAAACTAGTAATGTAACTTTACCGCTAGATATTGCATCAGGATATGAGTTGTAACAATATGACAGTAAATTTCTGTCTTAATTGTTCCTCAGTGGATTCATACGACGGACTACAATTCAAAGTCGTGTATGGAGGAAAGCTGACAGATGTATTCCATGTGAAGACAAGCCCGATTATTCTCGCCCCTTTACTTCTTTCTGATATCCAATCGGATTATGAAGGTCTTCACACATCAGCGAAGCATGGAAGACAACAGACAGCTTTGATGCTGCTAGAAGATCCGGACACTGCAGATGACCTAGCTTTCCTATCCCATACACACCAACAAATGCAGGTGAAGGTAGTCAGTATAGCACCAGCCTCTGCCGAAATACTCTTCAACATACACAAGGGAATGAGCAAGATCCTCAAATACAAAATAAAGAACGCCAACACAATCACATTTGATCGAGAAACTCTGGAACGAGTTGAAACGTTTACATACCTGGTTAGCATCATCGATGAACAAGGAGGATCTGATGCAAATGTGAAGGCACAGATTGATAAAGCGAGGACAGCATTCCTACAGTTGAAGAACATATGGAACTCAAAACAACTGTCGGCCAACATCGAAACCAGAATCTTCTATGCGATAATTATGAAAGTCTTACTATACGGAGCTTAAACTTGGAGAACTACTACAATCATCATCAAAACAGTACAAATATTTATAGACAGTTATGTACGAAAATTACCCAATATCTGTTGATCGGATACCATCAACAGCAGCCTACTATGGAAGAGAACAAACCAGCTTCCAGTTGAAGAGAAAACTAGGAAAAGACGCTGGTGGTTGATAGGACATATCTTGAGGAAGTAATCAAACGGCATCACGAGGTAAGCGCTAACTTGGAATCCTGTATGGAAACGGAAAAGAGGAAGGCCAAAGAATACACTGGGTCGGGAATCGGAAGTAGACATGGAAAGGATAAATTGCAACTGGAAAAGATTACCTAGGACAGGATTGGATGGATAAAGCTGGTGAGTGACCTATGCTTCTCGACGATGGGTAACAAGCGTAAGTAAGTAATCTATGGATGAAATAGTGCTTTTCCACAGTTTTCTACTTGGTCAGAAGATCTAGTGGCTTGATCTGAGTTAAGTTTAATGTCGAGGTGTACACAAGGTAAGGCTAACCCTATGGTTTAGTACTTTGGATTTACCTTAGGAGATAAATATTATATGCAATGTCTCTTCGAAAAGGAAGACAAAATTACAAACAGCATCTTGTACTCATAAAATACGGTGTAACTATATACATCAGTCACTTGAATTAAAACTGTAGGTCGATCGGGAAATACCGTTATCATAATGTCATGTACAGAGTGACAGAGAAGTGTACGAATGTTTGATAGATGGGGCAGAATAAAATAGATCAAAGGAATATGACTGTCTAGAGATAATAGCATTAAATGTACTAATGTTCTGTATATTAGTTTTCTGCTGTCGATGTGGTGTGTGTCACCCATTATGAAGATAAATGTAGACCAAAGATTTGTAGTGGTGCAGTTGTAGAAAATTTTGTCGTTGATAAAAATGTTAGTGTTACTGTATCAATAGTCATCGTCTCTTGTTATTTGTCTACATTGAATGTGACTCATTAACACAGTTTGTTAACTAATTCTTGTAGAAATCAGTATTGACATATCTTATAACATATACATGTTTGTTTGAACTATTGAGAAACTTAAAACTAATAAATATCATATTCCCGAGAATCCCTCATCTTCAATGATAATCTCATATCAAAAATGTGAAGAATAATTTGGAATATTATTGAATTCCTGAAGACTTTTTAAAAAACAAATATTCCGCAGTAAATTAAATAATAACCGAAAATAAAAATTCCCCCAGTAATTTTCTATCTAAATTTATCTTTATTAATAGAATAATAATGGTAATAATAAATTACATAGAAATGATTTAGACAACATCAATTAAATTAGATTCAAATATGGAAACAATAAAAGCTATTTAGATCTTTTTCAAAACAATTAAGATAAATTATTCTAAATAGATACAAATCTAATGTTTCTGTATCGGATTTTTAACTACAAAATATAAGAGCAAATTTTTATTTAACTTTCATAATGTATTTCTATTGTTCGATTGAACCGAAAATTAACTTCTCAAAAACAAAAAAAGAGTTTCATGTTAACAATATTCTATAGTCATTAAGTATAAGTAGTTATATATAGTTACAGAAATGGACAACCCTAATCACTTCCCATGATCATGTTTTTAAAGTGTTAGTCATTTAGCTACTGAACAACATTTAAGTAGTTTGACATTTAAGAATCAATGGTTGGTTCCTACAATAAATGCAATGGTTAGAACAAGATTAAATTGAAGAATTGATAATAAAATACACTGAAAAGCCTCCTCAGTTCGATTTTCAGTGTATTTTGTCATCAATTATTCAATTTAATCTTGTTCTAACCATTGCATTTGTTGTCGGAACCAACCATTGATTCTTCAATGTCAAACTACTTAAATGTTGTTCAGTAGCTAAATGACTAACAACTTAAAAACATGATCATGGGAAGTGATTAGGGTTGTCCATTTCTGTAACTATATAGAGACTAATTATTGATATTGTCAGTGACAGTTTCTAATCAACCATTATTTCAAAATTCAGTTCATCTTTATTGGCATTTTGAACATTGGAAATTGCACATTTAACCAAAATAGCGACGCTTTTTTTAGGTGCTTTAAATTCCACAGCAACTAATGGGCCAAGATAACCCGCTTGTCCAAGATATGGATAATAAGCACTACTGAATACCCCACTAAAGAACAGAGAAAAAAAGACAACGAAAAAAATAAAAACAAAAATAATTTGGAGAAGTTATTTTTCGGTCAAAACATTTAATATACAAACTATAAACAGGCTAATATCACGATAATATAGGAGTATAGAAGTGAGAAGGTTAGAAAAAATTTTTCTAAAATTGATTATTCGATAATTTACTAGTGAATACTACTCCTAGTTTGTTTGTAAACACCATGGTGATTGTAAACCTATTGATTGGTTAAAGTTATTAAATCATTTATGGAGTTTTCTGACGGTTGTTTTTTTTTCGCCTGTTGTATTTTTCATTATAACGAAAGTAAGAGGATTTTATTTTACTTTTTTATATTAAGTAAAGTAGAGCAGATGAATTGTAACCTGAAAATAAATAGTATAATGAAATGAGTGGTTTGAACCTTTAAAGACGAATATATTGAGTGATTGTGACCCATTTAATTTACTCGACTGTTGTCAAAAGTAAGTTACTTAAAAACTGAATTGTTTGTAATGAAAATTACGGATATTTGGGTTTTTTTTCTAAAAAAAAAGAAAAGATATGTATTGACTTATGGTGGGTAAAACGATATATTTTACTTTGGAGGCTGATTTTTTTCCTAAATTTCAATGACCAACTGGGATATTGAATAAAGTTGAAATAAACTGTTAAGTCAAGAATGAAACTGAAAATATTAACTTCCAGAAGAAATTCATAATCACATTACAATTTTCATAATAATAATAATACGTTACTATTGTGTATGCCCCGAAATGCCCTGGCACGGCCGAGAGTGCGGAGAGTCAGCTCTCCCTCTCGAAACGCTCTCACATGGCCACGCGTATATAGCCTCTGCCACTACCTTCTCGTGGTTGGGGTGTTGTTTACGAAATTGAGAGGACGAAAAAAGAATGTCCGGTGGGGACTTGAACCGTGTTGGTGGACATGGAGAGTCCACCTAGGGCAGTTGGAAAACCCTGATTCCAAACGAATGGTGCACATAGGCTCCAGTATCCTGAAGTAACAAATGGTGTATGAACCAATCGTTAGTCACTGGCTACCATGGAAATGCATCTCCTTATGATGCTTCACTGCCTTGTGGATCAGACCTTCAGGTCGAAGGCTCCGGGTGTGGCCCCCTAAGAAAACCAACTGCTTCGGTTTGGGCGCCGGGGCAGTATCACAGCCCCGACACATATCAAACGAGATCTGTGTGGCACATATGTATTTGGTGCCTCCTTGTACCAATATCTGTGTCTTAAAATAAATGAATGCGGATATTATAAGAAGAAAGTATATTAGTTAACATTTCATTCATTATTTAATTAGTAACTGACGGAATCAAACCAAAAATCAGTGATAAGTAAGTTTATTCTCTAAAATTCAGTTAATCAACTATTCACATTAGATATTGTGTGAAAACTATTGAGATATTGTCCAAGATATATTTTTAGTATAAGTTACTAAATTCCCATACACCGATGATAGAAATTGATAGTAGTTATCAGGACTCAGTAGCTAAGTGGATAACGCGGTGGTGTTTGAAGTGAACGGTACTGGGTTCGAGTCCCAGAGAGAACGTTACCTCTGAGATACAGGTACATCCAGCTGACGAGTCCCAGATAGGACGAAACGCTCGTCCTGAATTCCACTGCTAAC